CCATGCAATGAACTGACTCAATACTGGTATACTACTGATACCATTGACTGATTCATTTAACTTCATTACATTAGCATAAAAGAGTAACCCATTGATACTACCCACTGATACTGTCATATTACTCACCAATAGAAAAAGGCTACAAGAATAATGCCAGCGACAATGAAAGGAAGAATCAGTGAAATGTACTTGTTGCTGCATTGACCACATTGATTAGAACCTAACATGAGACTGAGTCCTTGTTGACATGCCGCACAAAGTATACCTGATCTATTATTTGCACATTGAATATCAGGATCATCAAGATTGAAGGAGATAGTTGATGAGTTACAATAATCAAAAGGGCAGTTAACATACCCAACTGTACAGTCATACTGTGTATTATAGTATAACCAACTGTTGCTTGATTTGCTGATTGGAAAGGGCATCAGATCAATATTACATTTGACAGAACTAACATTACTGATGACACTATTGCAATCACATATTCCATTGCTTGATAGTGCCAGGCCATGAGGACATGGTAGTAATGTTACATACACCATCAACAAAGAATTATTCATTGCTTGTCATGCTGTCTGGGGTTTAAATCCAATTTTACCAACACTTACATCAATGCTGTTCTGTTTTATTCTGTAGCCAAACACTGAACATGTTTTGCTTGGTTTCCGATTCATCGTATTTACTGACATTATTATTTCCCTTTCAGTTACTAGTACAGCAGGACTGACACCTCCACACATACCAACAGTTACTAAAGGAAGAAGAATGAGCTGACCAGGATAAACATCTTGATAATAGTTTCTAATGCTACAGTTTGTTTCAACACTATCAATATCTATATTACATAGACATACTCCTAATGCAACAGAAGTCACATAAGATGAAATGGGGTTTGGAAATCTTTCTAGTGTAGGGTTGTCCAAACAAGTGATAATCTTATTAAAATCATTTTTCACACTAACAGCAACTTGGGGTTCATCAATCATAGTACAGTTCCAATAAACTCCATTGTATACATCATCTCCAGCAAGCAGAGCACTGTTACCAGTAAAAATTGGAGTGAAATTTCTTCCAAATGAACATGCCAAATTTGTATTTATTACTTCCCTCGCAAAATATATCGCACCACCATAAGTTCCTGCTGTATTATTAATGAAATATGCTCTAGTATTCCCATCAATTGCAGAATATTGTGGGACAATTTTTAAGCCTCCACCACCAGTAGGAGAGTGGTTGTTCATTATTGTGCTTGGATTATCACGGAATATTAGGTAAATGTTAAATAGTAACATCCCACCTCCTCTGTTATTAAAAATGGTGACATTATTGAGAACTGTTGTACTATTGTACCCATGATTATACACAGCCCATTGCGTTCCATTTGTTATCACAACATTAGTGAGGTACAGTGACCCATATTCATACTGCACAGATAATCCAGCTACGCATGTGTCAATAGTGACGTCATTGAAATTCATTACACAATAGCGCACACAATAGAGTCCAATTCCGCAATCAAAACTCTTAAAAACACTGACATTAGTCAGTGTTATCTCACCCTGATCTCCTTGAGAGAAAAAGTAGAGCTTACCACCATATACTGTTGTATGGCTAACTAAAAGAAATAGTCTCATTGTATACAATTCCACAACACCAGTAAACACTGATCTTGATATAGCTATATGCCAATCAGCATACCAAACATGATCCTTATCAAAACCAACTTGAATACCTTCAGTGGAGACATCAAATAATGTTAAACTTGAAATGGCACGAAATTTTAACTTCAGACAATCTATTTTCAGCCCTTTAACGAGTAACTCTTTGATTCCAAAAATATCGAAAGCTTCGGTAGTGTTGTTATTACATTTAATGACTGGCTTTGAATGCATGCCTAATGCACTATCTCCCCCCCCTGTAATCATTGCTTTTGTCAAATGTGAAATACCTAGAGTAGCAGTCATATTGTACTCTCCTGGTAGAAAGACAAGAGTAAGGTAGGAGGGCCAGTTAATTGCTAAGCTATGGGTGTAGTAAGAAAGAGGATGACAGACAGCATTAGCAGTTGGACAATCACCAGTAGCTGTAACATAATACACACTCATCTCTTGTGACTGAGTGGTGACCAGTAATAAGGACACAATCCACTAGAAGAATTAAAATTAACAGATAGCTATAGATTGCTAATAAAAACTCACTAGTACTAGACCAAAATGAAGCATTGTGTCCAGCAAAAACTTTAACACTGATGTTTGTAACTGATTGAAGCGTCTTTATCAATGTGATAGATTACACAAATTTAGTGTAATGTTATCTTTCCTTTTCATTGCATAAACATGTAACAAAATTTATACAAATTAGAGCTCAAATTTGTAAACAAGACTCTAATAACAGGGAAATGGTAATTAAAGTTTCTACATATGGCTTAAGCATAACAGGAAGAATAAATAAAATAATTTTAAATGCAAACATTGATATAGGCCTAGAATTGTCACAGGTTACTGTACATGTAGCTAATCAGATATAGCATGCATAAACTTTAATAAAAAAGCATAAACATTAATAATGACATGTATCTTTATTTATTCAAATGTACCAGTAAAGTGAAACTAACACTGGGATACTGATAAAGCTGCATGCTGTCATGCATTGTGAAATAGCAGAGGATAAAGATGGATTTACAATATTTTACTAGTCCTAACATTACATTGATAGTTTTTGACACTGAAGTTGAATTTGGTTATACTCTTAAAGCATGCATCAAAAGGTCAAACCACCCCATGAATTTCTTAATCAGCAATTTAATTTCATTTCTTAATTTCAAGTGATTTTGTGAACACTGAGTCATTTTAAACAGGTGTTACCTCTTTTGTCTCATTACTCATTGTTACATGTACCACTAGAGATCTGTTGGAAGAAGCTTGAGACTGTACAGTAGTGTAGCGGGTTATCAGAGGAGGGGAGGAGGAGGAAAGGAAGAGGAAGAGCTGAGGGAGGTACTTATAGCTAGTGATTTGAAGAGT